TTTTTAAATATACTGCTATTCATGTTTCCAAATAATATTATATTTTTTTTACTGCTATCTATGTTTTTAAACATTTTTTAAAAATACTATTTTAATAAGATAAGATAACTTTTACTGGTTGACGTGTGAAAATATCAATTTTAATAGGAAACAATATCAATGTTAACATTCAATAAATGTGTAAGAGAATATCGGTGGGTGAAATTACATTTTCCTATTGTAACTGAATACCTCCTTCTAGAAGGGTCATCATTACCAAACATATAGAAAACAAAAGATCACAATATATAGGTTTTTGATATTAGAAATAATGTGAAACTGATATTATAAATAATGTGAAACTGGTATCATATTTTAGGTGGATATGACTCAATCAAAATCAAAGTACATAGGAAACAATAAGATAACTTTTACTGGTTGACGTGTGAAAATATCAATTTTAATTGGAAACAATATCAATGTTAACATTTAATAAATGTGTAAGAGAGGGATTTATTGTTAAACGTAATCTCAAAAACATTTGAGTTTGACAAGTGACTTTTTAGAATGAATTAAAGAGATAGAAAGATAGAACAATATAGGAATAAAATAAAAAGCATTGCGACAACTTGGAATTTAATTCAAAGTGATATGTAGAGCTCCAAGAACTTAGGAATATCATCATCTTTTGGTAAGTTATCACATATGACGTGATATGTTTCTCTAGAAATTTTAAAACATATAGACCATATTCATTCTTTCTCGTATATCCTATAACTTTTATAGGATTAAATAGTATGATTTGCTCCACTATACTGGATCTGCTCGTAAACACACATCCTCAAACATCGTCTTCTCACTTGTTTGGCGATCAATGTAGTTAATATTAATCTACATAAAATAACATTCAATTTCATAGAATGTAAACAGCATTATAAAAATACTCAGAGCATTTAAGTGTTATTTTCTATTATTAATTTTTTTTTTATAAAAACATTTTCAAACTATGAATATTTTTAGATGGCTTGGAAAATAAAAATATACATATTAAACAAACATATAGGTTAAAATTATAGCAATTAAATACACTAATATTATTTTTGATATTAAACACATTAACAAAAATAAAAATTCACAATAAAATCAACAAATATTACTTAAGATTAAAAAAGAGAACACTCATATATACTAACAATTCTTTTACTTTTGATTTTCATTGTTTTACTTCTTTTGATCTTACTTTTCTTATGTAAACTTAAACAAACATCAATGTTGAAATATATTTAACCAGTGTCGATGGAAATGTAGCAATGAATAGGTATGGAACTACAAAAGAACAACATTCACTGAGTTTTCAAGTGACACCATTAACATTTGTGAACCTGGGTGTTTTTTTTTTTTTTTGATAAAAGTGAACCTGGGTGTTTAGATGATATTTCTTCTTCTTTTCAAGTTAGCCAATCCTTTTAGATGTTTTAGAAAATAAAAATATACATATTAAACAAAACATAAATAAATTATAGAAACTAAATAAACATATATTATTTTTGCTATTAAACACATAAAATAAATAAAAATCCACAATAAAATTAACAAACATTAGTTAAGACTAAAAAGGAGAAAACCTGTATATACTAACAATTCTTTTACTTTTGATTTTCATTGTTTTACTTGTTTTGATCTTACTTATCTTATGTCAACTTAAACAAACATCAATGTTGAAATATATTTAATCAGTGTCGATGGAAATGTAGCAATAAATAGGTATGTGACTACAAAAGAACAACAACTCACCGAGTTTTTAAGTGACGCCGTTAACGTTTGTGAACCCGGATGTTTAGAGGATATTCCTTCTTTTCAAGTAAACAAATCTTTAGATGACTCTCATTGAAATTTATGTTTGCGTATAAATGTCAAACAACTCTTAAACGTAAGATTGATTGTTGGCTCACCATAAAGCTTAGCAAAATGAATTGGAAGAAAAGAAGGTAAGAAGAAAACCATCATCCATTCACAGGTTCTACTCGTGACCCCATCTGTCAATGATCTTGCATGAACCACACATAAAATAAGTGTCAACAAAACTCCAAAATCAATAAAATTATCACTGGTAGATAAAATAAATGTACAAAATAACTTATCCTTCAGTTTCTTTGTCTTCATATTCTACCTTCCCCAAATTCACATTTTTCTTTCTGATCGGTGGAGTAGTTCTTTAACTGTTATTTCTTGAATTGTGGAAGATATTTTGTTTAGACCAACTATAAAAAAAATCGTGAAAAGTCTAAATGACGTGAATTGTGAGTGTGTAACCACCAAGCGATTTACTTATCATCAATAATTTTCTTTTTCCTTGAGCAACTACAACAATTTTTTATTAACAAACAAAAAACCAAAATTGTAATTAAAAATGGGAGAGGTATATTATGTTTTCTAATATAAAAGATTTTGATCTTACTTATCTTATGTAAACTAAAACAAACATCAATGTTGAAATATATTTAACCAGTGTATGAAAATGAAGCAATGAATAGGTATTGGACTACAAAAGAACAACAACTCACCGAGTTTTTAACTAACGCCATTAAAGTTTGTGAACTTGGGTGTTTAGATGATATTCCTTCTTTTCAAGTTAGTCAATCTTTAAATGACTCTCACCAAAATTTGTGTTTGCGTAAAAATGTCAAACAACTCGTAAAAGTAAGATTGATTTTTGGCTCAACATAAAGCTTTGCAAAATGAATTGGAAGAAAAAAAGGTAAGACGAAAACCATCATCCATTCACATGTTCTTCTCGTCACCCCACCTATCAATGATCTTGCATGAACAACAAAAAAAAAATTAAGTGTCAACAAAACTCTAAAACAATTAAATGTTATCATTGGTAGATAAAATAATAGTACAAAATAACTTATTCTTCAGTTTCTTTGTCTTCATATTCTACCTTCTCTAAATTCACATTTTGCTTTCTGATCGGTGAAATAGTTCTTTAACTGTTATTTCTTGAATTGTGTAAGATATTGATTAGAAGAACTATAAAAACATATCGTGAAAAATTTAAATGACGTGAATTGTGGGTATGTAACTGCCATGCGGTTTACTTATCATTGATAAATTTTTTTTCCTTGACCAACTACAACATTTTTTTATTAAAAACAAAATTGTAATTAAAAATTGGAGAGGACACGTGTCACAACCAAAATTATCAACTGACTTCTGTGTTATAATATAAAAGATTTTGATCTTACTTATCTTATGTAAATTTAAACAAACATCAACGCTGAAATTTATTTAACCAGTGTCGATTGAAATGTAGCAATGAATAGGTATGTGACTACAAAAAAACAACAACTCACCGAATTTTTAAGTGACACCATTAATGTTTGTGAACCCGGGTGTTTAGAGAATATTCCTTCTTTTCAAGTTAGCCAATCTTTAGATGACTCTGAATGAAATTTTTGTTTGCGTATAAATGTTAAACAACTCATAAACATAAGATTGATCTTTGGCTCACCAAAAAGCTTAGTCAAATGAATTGGAAGAAAAAAAGGTAAGACGAAAATCATCATCCATTCATAAATTCTTCTTGTTACACCACCTGTCAATGATCTTGCATGAACCACAAAATAAGTGTCAACAAAACTCCAAAATCATTAAAAATTATCACTGGTAGATAAAACAAAAGTGCAAAATAGTTTATTCTTCAGTTTCTTTGTCTTCATATTCTATCTCCAAATTCAAATTTTGCTTTCTGATCTGTGGAGTAGTTCATTAACTGTTGTTTCTTGAATTGTGGAAGATATTGATTAGAAGAATTAAAAAAAAATCGATGACGTGAATTGTGGGTGTGTAACCGGAAAGCGGTTTAGTTATCATCGATATTTTTTTTTGAGCAACTACAACAAGTTTCTATTAACTTACGAAAAAAAATGTAATTAAAAATGAGAGAGGACACGTGTCATAATCAAAACTGTCAAATGATTTCTGTTTTATAATATAAAAGATTTGATCTTGAATCTAAAATCTTCCAACAAATGTTCGTTTTAAATCTTGCCAAGCTACACACGCCCTGGATGCATGAATAATTTTCTTTTGTTAGTTTTACTAATTTCTTTTTAAACTTGGTTTAATTTTTACTGATACCACCAACAAGTACATGCAATATCTTGTAATATGATTTGAAGCTGTACCATGGATTTATAATATTATCCAAAAAGTGAATAATTATTTCATCCGTTCTTTATTTTTCTTAAGTAGAAACATATTCGGTTCCGCAAACCGGAAGGTCACGTTCGAAGTATGGAGAAGCTTAAAGGATTGGATTGCGCTCGAAGAAATTTGTTGGCTTTAAATCGAAGCTAGAAGAAACCGTGGGCATTATAGGAAAATATTCTTGACATGGAATGTGATGGAAACCAAGTGTGTACCATACCACTATGTCTTTATTCTTTATGTCTCTATCCCTATTTCAGATCAATTAAACACATCAATTTAAAATCATCAATGACTAACAATAATATATACAGTTAAAAATTAAAACTCTATAAAATATTAATTATATAGTTATTAATTTAAACATAAATTTATTAAATTTATATATTTAAGATACTTTTAATTAACAAGAAAATTAGATTTCTTTTCAAGATATCATATATTAGTTAAACTTTAGAGATATGAAATTTTATAGTGATATATTATATTGAATACATATCATAGAATACAAATAAAATTTTATATGTAATTCAATAGTGTAACTGCAAGTTCTCAAAAAAAGATGATATTAATTTAAAGAAAATAAACAGTAAAATGCTTTGTTAATGGCTATATAAAAACTATATATAGTAATTATTAGTTTATGATTTTCCTGGAACTGTATTTACTTAAAAAAATATATTATTATCTTACTGAATTATGTCATATTTTACGTTGGTCCAATTGATGACCAAATTTTGTAATTGTTTTATAGAATTTATATGTGTATATATAATAGCTAATAGCTATTAATAATGGTTGGTGACTAATTACCTCTCAGACCAAACTGCAAGAGTATCATCACCATGACTTTGGTAAGTGAACAAACCACCAGCCCATTGCTCAGACTTATTGTAGGGAGTGACCCATAATTGGTTATTGCTAAAAGCTCCTCTCATCTGCGGCGGATCATCGTGGTCAAGCAAGCTAGCAGCCGTGGCTCTCGGTACAATCTTGTAGCCCGTCGGGTTACCGACCCTTGTGGTTTTACCAGAATTGATGACGTGGAATTCTGATGGATCGTACAAGCTAAGCTTGATCTGACCGCCCTTTTTGGTTTTTGCAATGTTCCTAACAGCTTTCATGTAACTCTTCCTTGGCGACTCACCCGGCTTAGTCTCCTGCCTCTTGAGGTTCACTTTCACAAACGAATTTTCCGGGCCATCGACATCGAGGTCAAGGTAGAAAGTGACGTAGTGGTCGTGAGTTACTCCAATTACGTTTTCAGATAGAATCGTGCCATAAAGCTCTTCTTCATTACCTTCTTTGTCTTTCTTCACTTGGTTCTTGTTCTCATACGTTGTCCCTTTTACCATCAAGATTCCACTGAGCCCGACCTATTTTCCACCGTACCAAAAATAGATATTTCGTATCAACGAAAACATTTACAATCTTTTTGTAACATAAGACTGATAAGGAAAGTGAAAGTACCTTAGCTCTCATAAGCGTCAGCTTTGGTCTCACTTCCCTTATAGGCTAAAACAAATTTGTAATTAATCTCTTTCTATCTTAAACTATGTGATGCTGATATTTTGAGTGTGACTACTAACTAGCAGCATTTCACATTGTTCTGTTTTAGATGTCCTTTTATCTTTGTGCATACTATATCTTAACAGTCGGTGGGTTGCCCAGTAAAATCTCCATGATAAATAAATGTGAAAGAATCGATTTGTTCATTATCAATTGGGTTTCAATTATTTTATCATAAAAATAAGGAAATATTGGGTTTTCAACTACTAACTCATATGTCTTGGTTTTTAACCAAAAAAAAAAACTCATTTATATTGACTTTTTTATGTAAACTAAACTGGATGATATATTAGGAGTTGATTGGTATTCAATTTAAACGTGAGCTTTGATTACTACATATATTTTGTTTTTTTGAATAATGCAATTATGGGTTTTACTAAGTTCAGACTACAGTATAAACTATTGGATTTTTATAATAAAAATGCATAATAAGGGCCAAAAAACACCTTAGAAAACCATGTTTTAATTAATTTTAGGTTTATGTATTGTTCTAAAAGTTTTAAAAATTGTTCATTAAATCATGTAATATAACAAGTTTTAGAAACTAGTCAAAAGCTCAAACTATGTGGTATTTTTGGAATTATCGATTGTAATCAAAAGTATTGTTAAAAATATACAATCATACAAAAGTAGATTGGGTAATCTAGTTTTCTAAAATCTGATTTTGAATACTTTTTTAAAGACAAAGTAATCAAGTGGATAAGGAAAATCTAAACTTATTGGACAGAAACATTTTAATCACACGTGATTTGATATATTAATCAAATAATTGTTCTGAAATTTGAACTAAAATAGTTTTATAATTTTAAGATCTTTCAAGATAAAGTTGTGATGTTGGCAAAGCAATGTTACAAAAACTTTTAATAACACGTGACTTGTTACACTAATCATTTCAAACTCACTATATAAAACCAGGATTTTTTTTCCCGGACCAGGATACTATAAATCACATGACCAACAAAACGTTCGACATATGCGGATGCGGCCCATTTTGTTTTGTTTCTAGTTTTCTAGATTAAGCTAGTTTTTAATTCAAGAGCCAGCACCAAATGTGATCTCCGCCCAAGTGGTCTGATGGATATAAAGTAAAATATCCGATATAAAGTATCAATACTATTAAAAAGGATCATTTCCCTTAAATGAAATAATTATGTTTTCTAAAATTATCCTTAATATTATGAACAAATTTAATTTCTCATTAATGGTATAATTATCTTTTTGTTTTTTGGGCCTAAACAATTATATATTTAAGTAGATAATGGACTACATTAATAGACTAAATTCTCTTTCTAATTATTTTAGAGTTTCTTGTAAAAATAAGCACATTAGCTTCAATGGACGTACATTAAATAATTAACTGTACTGATATTATTTTTCTCAAATAAAACTATATGATTGCATACAATACATTTACATAGTTATTGATAATAATAAATTAAAATTTGCATTAATTTTCAAAAGTTATATTAGATATCGAAATTTTGTAACTAAATGATTTTATAAATTAATCACAAAACTAAAGAATATTCGGACCACTTTTCATTTACAATATTTAATTGTTAATATACAATCTTGCTCAAGTATAAATTTTAGATACAACCACTATTTAACATATTTAGAAACATAAAACGGTTATCTGAGACATTGTAAAATAAAAATATTTTCATACCCGCCTAATTAAAATTTAATCTTGATTATGTGACATTTTATATCATCGAAACAATAATTAGTAATCCATTTATAGATAATACAACAAAATAGTACCTACACTGTTTAAGCACGAATCAAAAATCTAGTTTATTTTCTTAATCTTTGCGTTCTTCCTCTAGTGGAGGTGGTAGCTATAGAAAAAAATCAAAATGATATTGTGCATTAATGTCATACTAGAGTTTTGACCTACGCGTCTGTGCATGTATTTACATTTAATTTATACTGTTTTATATTTATTATTATTTATTTGTTTGTTTTAGATTTGTATAAGTGTGATTTTGTTAATAGTGTATTCTATGCTGATTATAAAAATTTAATATGATAAATTAATATAGTTAAGTTCGTTTGTATTTGTTTGTATATATAACTAATTACAATAAATAGTAATATGTTTTTAAGTTTCAAATAGTATTTATTCACAAATAATATATTAACTAAACCAGATGATTTTAAAATTGTATTTAATTCATGTAATACGTATAATTCGGTTTAGTGATGTAATCTACAATTACATTAATAAAGTTATGTAATAATTCTGGTTTGTAATGTTAATTCATTTAGATTTTTTAAATTTTGATTTAACAATCCCGGTTCACTAATTTATTATACAAAGATGAGTCCTATTTTATGGTTAGAGGTTTTATAGTCAGAAATTCATATATTCACAATATATGGATCAAATAAAGGTTAATGGGCCCGATCGTTTTCTATACTATTATTTGCGAAGTGATTTTTCGCAATGGAGCTCTCACGTTAAAAGTTGGAGTGGCTAATATCGATTATACACTTAATGAATAAATTATATAAATTAATTATATAAAAACGAATTTTAATTTATTTTATTAGATAATTTATTTTAATCAATAACAATAAGAGTTATCCAAAATAAAAAATATATTTTATTTTAAAAAGATAATTCCTATATATATTGTATTGTTATCTGAAACTATCTTTTCATAAAATATTTAAAAATTCAAAAACAGAAAACATAAAAAAATCAAAAACAGAAAACAATAATTAAATATTAATTAATTAAAATTCTTAATTTTATAAAATTGAAAAAATAATATTAAATAATTTTTAATAAAAGTAAAAATTCTGAAAATGATTTTTAATTAGTAATATATTTACTAACAAATAATTATAAAAAGCTTAAGCAAAGTGATTTTTCGTAACGGGCCTCCCACGTTAATAGTTAGCGCGGTTAATATCATTTATACCATTAATGAATAAATTATATAAATTAATTATATATAAAAACGAATTTAAATTTATTTTATTAGATAAGTTAATTAAACAATAACAATAAGAGTTATCTAAATCCAAAAATATATTTTATTTTAAACAGACAATTCATATATATATTGTATTGTTATCTGAAAGCTATCTTTAATAAAATATTTAAAAATTCAAAAACAGAAAATAAATAATTAAATATTAATTAATTAAAATTCATATTTTTTTATAATTGAAAAAATAATATTTGAATAATTTTAAGATTAAAAATTTTCAAAATGAAAACACAAATAATAATATATGCTCATAATTTTAATTAGTAATATATTTAATTAGTATATATAATTATAAAACACTTAAGCCCGCATGGCGGGTAAAACACCTAATATTATATAGCGTGGAAGTTTTTTTTTCATTTAATGAATGTGTAGAATTAATATCAATGGCATTTAAGTTAGGGTTAAATAATATTTGTACTTCTATTTTAATAGATTAGATCCATCGTCAATAGAAAATTAAAGCATAATTTGAGAATGGTCCATATGAACCACATTGTTTCATTGGTGACGAACCTGGACCCTTCTTGATCGATGTTTTATGATATTTCGAATGAATAGCTAATTTCATACGTTTCAATAAAGAAGCTAATTTGATCTTAAACTAATAAGACATTCAGAAGTTAACATCAAACTGCTGTTTACTTTTAGGGCTGAAGTTATCTTTTTCCGATGCAATCTTGCAACATAATCTTGGGAAATGAATCATGAGAAATTGTTTAACTTGGTAGAAGTTTTTTTAGGTTTCATGTGAATTTTGAACTATTGTAGTGGCATGAATTTTCTTTAGCTTAGATTTTAAACCAAGTCATGTTCTTCTTTTTTTTCTTTTCTTTCTATGCCCATTCGTTTATACAATTGTTATTATTTTATTTAAACAATTATTTTCATACTTTTAGCAATTATAATCTAAAACTAGATCTCAATCCGCGCAACCGCGTGGGTATTTATTTTCATTTATTTTTATATAAACATTTTTTTTACTTCTAAATTGGTATATATTATATAAGGTGTGTATATAGTATAGATTAATTATTGTTAGAAAATGATGATTTTTTTATTTTTAAAAATAAACTATATGATTTTTAAAGTTAACACTAAAAATATATAAATAATTTACTTATACTATTACAATATTAAATTATATAAGTTTAATTTAAACATATATTTTATTATAATATCTATAAATCCAATGGATCATCAAATTTTTATTAGCCCAATAAAAATTTCTAGTGAGCCCAATAAATGTTATTAGTGAATCTAATGAATGTTATTAGTGATTGAATAATATAATGTCATAAATTCTATTAGATGATCCATTTTAAAATATCACACATGAAGTGAAGTCATGACTTCTCTTTTAATATATAAGATATTACAAGCGAGGGTTTAACCAAAGCAACATGTCCATAAGACTAATTGATATTGGCATTTGAGAGCAAGTGCATTGGTGTACCTCTAAAAAGAATCCTTAGCATTATTTAAGTAGTTTTTTTTTGAATAGTTAAGGATTCTAATCTAAATTTTTAATCCAGTGGTGTTATCCAATTAGGAGTCCTTAGAAATAAAATAATAATAAAATATAATTTTATTTATTTATTGCATGATTAAATATAAAATTACAATGATTATTTAAAACATGATTAAATATAAAAAGACAATAATTATTTAAAACATAATTAAATACGAGTTGATCATTCATTACAAGTCATAGGTTTAAAAATATTTTGAAACAAGGGAACAACAACATAGAAGTCATCCATTACAAGTCCACTACAAGCAGA